GGTGGGGCTGCGATCCTACACCTCAGGCAGACATCAGATGTAGGCATCCTATTGAAAACCTGCTCAAATTCTCACGTGCAAATCCACGTGCAAAGCTTTCGGGTTGGTTCTGCGCCTGTGTTCTGGAATCTTGTAATCAACATGTCACGCCTACCTCCTCAGCCAGCTTTGCACTGCCCTTATCTCCTATCTCAGTTACATTGTCTAGACAGCCCTTCTTGTGCTCAGAAGAAACTTCACAAATTCCAAATTGGCAGGCAGTGAGAACCAGCTGGCAAGTGCTTGCTACACTAATGATGAGTTGTTATTTTCCTACTTTTTTCATTCTGGCTTTTCTCCCCCTCAGCATCAGGGGAATCACACTCTGAACACACTCATGTGGGTATGGGTGTTTTGTGGTGGCTGAGTCGCCCTGCTGTTGAGTTTATGTCTTTCGTAGCAGTAGCTGGAGTATAAAATTGATAATAGCAACAACTAAAGGTCTTGGTGTTGACAGTCAAAGGCAGTGGTTTTCAAAATTTAGTGTATTAGGTGGAATACTTAGGTGATTACTGGACTTTGCCCCAGAACTACTCTCTCAGAATGTTTTAAATTTTTTAATTGAGATAAACTCACATATTTACCACTTTAATCATTTAAAAGTGTATGATTCAGTGTGTTTTAATATGATAAAAATCTTTTTTTTTTTTGTACCAGGGATTGAACTCTGGACCTTGCACTTGCAAGGTGGGTGACAGCACCACTGAGCTAAATCCCCAGCCCAATATGATTAAAAATCTTTTACAACCATCACCACTAGCTCCAGAACATTTTCAGTACCCTGTACCCATTTAAGCAGTTATTCTGTTAGCCCTCCTCCCATCCTTTGGCAACAAATGACCTTTCTTTCTCTAGGAGTTTCCTTATTGTGGATATTTTATATAGATAGATTCATCCTATATTGATCCTTTTTGCCTGTCTTTTTTCACTTGGTGTAATGTTGTCTAGGCTTATCTATATTGTAGTAGAACTTACTACCTTTTCATGGCTGAATAATATGCCATGGGCCAGAGATTTAGCTCAGTGGTTCTGCTGCCTGCCTTGCAAGTACAAAGTCCCAGTTCCATCCCCAGTACACCCCTAAAAAATTTTAAAGTATTTGGAATAATATGCCAGTGTGTGGATATACCAGACTTTGTTTATCCATTCATCAGTTGACAGAATTTGGGTTGTTTTCATCTTTTGACTATTTTGAATAATGCTGCCATGAACATTTATATACAGGTTTTTGTGTGGACATTTTCATTTCTCTTGGTACATAACTGGGAGTGAAATTGTTGGGTCATATGGTAACTAGTTTAACCACCAAACTGTTTCCCACAGTGACCACACTGTTTTATAATCCCACCAGCCATGTATGGGGGTTCTGATTTTCCCACATCTCCAAAACTTGCTTTTTTGTTTTGTTTTGTTTTGTTTTGTTTTGTTTTGTTTTGTTTTTGCATTTCTTAGATCCTAACCAAGCAAATGGATGTGAAGTGGTGTTTCATTATAGCTTGAGTCCCATTCCTCACCTGCTGGGCCTGTGGTTTCTGATGAACTGATCATTTGTCTTACTGAGGACTCCTCAAACACAAGTTGTTTTCTTCTCTGCTTTCGAAATTCTTATGGTCTTTGTCTTTAGATGTTGTGTTCATCCTGTCAGTTTCTCTGAATTTATCTGACTTGGCATTTTCTTGGGTGTATCGATGAGTGTTTTTCATCAAATTTAGGGATTGTTGATCATTATTTCTTTGAATAGTCCTTTCCCTCTTCTCTCTCTCTCCTCTCCTTGGTGCAAAAGTGAGCACATTTGATGGCAATGCATAGATCCTTTTCTTCAGCTCTTTCCTTTCTGCCCCTCAGATGGGAAGCTCTCAGATGACCCATGCTCAGTAGTCCACCACAGGCACCCACTAGAGGTTTTCTCCTTCCATTCTTAAAGTTTGCAACTCCAGAATCTCTGTTGCTCCCTTTTCATAACTTTGTCTCTTTGTCATTATCCTCTAGGTGGTGAGACATCTTTCTCATCATTTCCTTTAGTCCTTTGAACGTATTTATTATTGTCTATGTAAACAGTCTTTGTCTAGCGAGTTCCAGGTCTGGGCTTCCAGAGGGACAGTTTGAACTAGTTGTCCTTTTCCTGCTTGTGGGCTATCTTTTTAAATCATTGTATACTTTATACATTTTTGTTGAAAACTGGACATTTTCAACATTACACATGGCAATTCTCGAATCAAATATCCTCACCCATTGGATTTGTTGTATTTACTTATGTGTGTTTGTTTAGTCCATTCCTGGACTAATTTGGTAAAGTCTGTATTCTCTGTCTTCTGTGGTCATTTATGTCTCTGTTCCCTCAGCTTAGTGGTCAGTGCTTGGACCTATGTTCTTGAACTCCTAGAATGAAGAGCAACCTCAGTTTTGCAGACAGCCTCCTTGGGTGTGCCAGGGTCACCTGCAGCACTCAGCCAGGCACCACTCACACCTGTCTTTCCTTGCCTCCTACTTGCACATCTGAAGGTCAACCCAAGCAGAGGTCTGAGGGACCTCTTTGGGCACAGCAGGCATGACATTCTAGAGTCCTAGGAAGATGTTGGAACTGTTCCAAATCCTCATTCCTCAGCCTTTCCTCCCAAGCAGTTTGTTGGAACCCATTGCCTCATACAACAATAGGTAAAATATTCTTCTATAAATGTTTTTGTCAGACTCTCCCTAGCTGGCTGCTGTGGCACTGAGAGAATTCCCAGTTATGTGAACTAAAGGTGAGGTCTTTCAGTTAGCCTTCCCAGGAGCCACCAGATAGGTTAAAAGAATAGTAACTCCTAGGAAATAAGGTCTGTGCCCCTCCTTTCAGTACCAGTACTGGTTGGTGTGAGTGGTATAGGCTGTGTTTCAATGCCACCATTGAGCAGGGAGCAAGAGATAGGAGCAGGGTAAGTTCGAATGCTGTGAAGCTCATGCTTATTAAGATTCAGATGATTTTTCTTATGTGTTTGTGTGGCCATTGCAAGCTTCTGGTTAGTCTCCAGAGTTCCAAAAAGTAGGCTCTGAAGATTTTTACCAGTTTTTTTTTTTTT